ACACCACACGCTACATGACCATATATGTTTATGATTAGATTTTATTCTAATTTTGATTTTGTTCTAAATATTAAAATTATACTGGCTTTATGGTACTCTTCTAATTAGTACTTACTACACTTTTAAAAATTTGTCTTTCATCATATTTGAATTTGTAAAATTATTACAATATATCTAATAAAATATTTTGGATAAAAAGACAAGTACACAAAATAAATTTTCCCTTGAGGACATAAACTATGGACGTGTATTTAAAAATTTGGTAAATAATCATGGATGTCATCAGTAGTGGATTTGTGGGAGGGAATAACAAGGGGAAAATTTCCATACTAAAACTGATTTTAAAACGGAGTCAAGCCACCATTTTGTTCACCCAGGACATCATGAACAAGTAGATATGGCCCACAAGTGCACTAGAGGAAAGAGCAAGCAATGGGCAAGGCCATATAGGTTCAAGCACATATGGGTGGGGCTACTATTGAGGATCACAAGTGGGTGGACCACATGTTAGTGGAACCACAATTTGCTGTACCCCAAGTGGTGGGGGGGGGGGGGCACGGTCACAACTGGCAATATATAACACTAATAAGGCTGTGACCACTATGTTTTATTGTATAATAATTAAAACTCATATTTATATCTTACAACATTTTATGTTACTTTTCTTTTGCAGTTGACCACTGCTGGTGTCCGCATGTATGGCAACATTATCATGCCATGATTTCCTGTAGTGAAGGCGAATGACATCACCAGACCCATCAACCTCCGTACGCATGTAATTTTGCGAGTTATACATAATAAACAAGTGTTCAGCTACTTTATGAAACATCTTCTCCACGGCAATATCCTTCTTGGCAGACACTTCATAGACTCTCGTTATCCCTGGCAGGTTTTTCCCGAGTATTTCTTGCGCATGCTCTATTGTCGTTTCACCACTTGAATATTCTTCGGCTTCTAGATCCAGTTTATTACCAACAAGAAAAATTGGGGCATTTTCGACTCGAAAGTGAAAACTTCGTATCCATTCTGGAATGCGACGGAGCGTAACAGCTCTTGAAATGTCGTAGACTAAAAGACCAGCTGCAGAACCCCGAAAGTAGGTTTCTGTGAGAGAGCGAGCTCTTTCCATGTCAGCAGTATCCCATAATTCAATCTTTAAAAGAAAAGTTAATTAATTTAATTTTATTAATTTGTGTCAGAATTATCAGAGTTTGGGAATTCGCATCAGATTCCAACCAAAATTCGGACTGCGTTTCTGATGTGCTAAACACCAACGTGCCTCTTACACACTGATTTGATTTTCTAATCGGTTTGGTAGCCTTCCTATTAAAAAATTTTCATTCAGTGTGAATGCAGCTTTAAGCTGGGCACTCAATGCACGACCGTCAGCCGACGAATCCAACTCCGCTCCCTGTGGGCGCTAGATGGCGCGACGTCGTCTGCTGCTTGCCAGTGGCAGTCTGAACGGGCCGTCATTGACCACCAAACAGTAAAAAATTATATTTTTATTAGGGCGTTATAACGGCCTACTATGGCATTGCAACGCCCTAATTACGACGTCAAAGCGCACTAATTACAGTGTTTTAGCGCCCTATATACGCCGTTATAACACCCTAATTATTATGGCGTTATAACACCTTATTTACGCCGTTATAACGCCCTATTACAGCGTGAATGGCCATTGTTTACCTAAAATGTAGAGGATTCCTGCCAGGGGCGGCACCAGGGTTTGCCCGACAGGGGGGGGGGACGAGATTTTAGAGTCTACTAATATGTAGATAATA